TCGATATACAATGTGGTTGCTCCCTCCCACCCAACAATGTCCTTTCTGTTTGCTTGTCGTATCAACTTCAAGGAATTGTAGTTGTTATATCTTCTTCCCCCCCCCCGTTTTTTTTTTTTTTTTTTGCTGTTAATTTGTTTGAGTTCCTTGTATATTCTGGATATTAATCCTTTGTCGGATGTATATTTTGCAAATATTTTCTCCCACTCTGTTGGTTGTCTTTTAACTCTGTTAATTGTTTCTTTTGCTGTGCAGAAGCTTTTTAGTTTGATATAATCGCATTTGTTTATTTTTCCTTTGGTTGCCTGTGCTTTTGGGGTCGTATTCATGAAGTCTGTGTCCAGTCCTATTTCCTGAAGTGTTTGTCCTATGTTTTCTTCAATAAGTTTTATCGTTTCAGGGTGTATATTTAAATCCTTAATCCATTTTGAGTTGATTTTAGTATATGGCGAAAGGTATGGGTCTAGTTTCATTCTCCTGCATATGGATATCCAGTTATCCCAGCACCATTTGCTGAAGAGGCAGTCCCTACCCCAATGAATAGGCTTCGTGCCTTTGTCAAAGATCAGATGGCAGTGACTTCTTGTATTTTATTGGCTCTGTATGAACTTGGTATAGGAATGATCACTTAGAATACCACCAAAAGTCATTTAAAATTTTATCATGAAATATTTCTGTCTAAAATTATTTGCAGACTACCTCAATTGTTTGCTTTTGAATATTACTTTTAAAAGCCTATTTTGGATGGAAATCTTCCTCATGTATTACATACTTGTGTGCCTTCTTAAATAGGATATTAGCCATCATCACAAAAGCAATCCAATTCAATCAGTTCTTGGTGATCAGGTCCACAATGGAAACTTGAGTTATTTTACTAGTAACAAAGATGTTCTCAGAACTGATAGGAGTATAAGGAAGGGCCCTGTGCCACATACCAAATAGCCCAAGACTAATTAATTGATGTGCTTCTTGAGTTTTTCTCATTCCTCAGTGTGCCAAGTTCTTCTTTTCCTGTAAGAACCATAGTCCCAATCTAATTTGTGGTTTCTAATTTATTGTGGGTTAAGATAATATGATAAACTGGCTCATTAGAATTATATGTAAAACCAAAGTAAAAGGGCTTTGGGGGAGCCAATGGGCTGTGCTGTGACTGGAATCCAATTGAGTACTGCTGCTCTGAGTAGTCAGATATATAAATCCCACTTAGGCAAGGTACGTGGCTAAAAGAGGGGTTGGATTTAGTCAGTGTTATTGGGGTCTCTTGGCTGATATTTAGTCATCCAGTGGCTTAAAATGTGACAAGAGAGATATAGCTAGTTGTCCACTAATGTAATACTTGGCATTGGTGACTACAGAGAGACAGATTATGTTTCCAAATTAGCAGGTGGTCTTCTGGCTGCCTCTGTTCTTCTCTGAGCCTTCCAGAAGCCTCAAGCACAACCTGGCAGTTCTCAGAAACTGAGACCTGAGGCTCTGGCTCCATGGTCACCAGAGATTCAATCTGGGATGCTGAAAGCAAGCACCCCGCAGACAGTTCTCCCCTGTTGGGCCATAAGCCTATGCAGAGTGAGGGGTCCCAGGAGCACAGGGGACAAGGCCAGGGTGTGAGCTGCTGAGATGGGTTCTATAGTGGGGTTCCCCATTCTCTATCTCCTCAGCGAGGAGAGTCCTAAACCCTCCTCTGCCCAGGGAGTGAAGCTGGGGCCTCCAGACAGACCCCATTGCAACCAGATGGAGGCCCATGTCAAGGAAGGGGCAAGTTGGGGCAAAAGCAGAAAGAGTGACCCTCAGTTCAAAGTCCTGGACCCTCTCAGTGAGAGAGGGGTTCCTTCTGGAAGATCAGCTCTCATCCCCAGGCCCGGTGTACCAAGACCACCAGCGTAAACCCACAGGCTTCCCAGCAGAGCCACCAGCTCTTATGCACCTGCCCCTGTAGCCCATTCTGTCCTCAACCCTCCTCCACACATCCCCCATGTCTACTCTCCCAGCTCTGGGCAGCCAGGCCCTTCACTTCCTGGTCTTTTCTACCCTCACTGATTGTGAGCTGTCCCATGGCTCAGCACCACCATGCCCTCCCAACATCTTCCTCCCCATGCCCCCCTCCCACTCTGCTGCGGCCTGTCTGGTCACCTCCCCTGCCTCATCCCAGGCAGGGGTGGGCTTGGATGCCCCACTCCCTCCTTAGCTTAAGTGCAGTGGTCCCCACTTCAACCCTGCCACCACCACCCACCCCATATTAACTGTAATTATGTAAGAGTGACTTGTTGGTTTAATAAATCTCTAGTTATTGTAATAATTTATTGGCTGCCATAATGTATTTATTAGTCACCTACTGTTAATAAAATGTGCCAGCTTTTTCTAAAAAACCATATTAGCAGGTAGTGGTATGTTTTATATCCCAGAAGACATATGAAATCTAAAAACCCCTTTCATGTCTGAATTCTATAATTCTATATGATAGGTATAAAATATGTTGGTGGACAGAAAGTTTATCCAAAAAAGGAAGTAAGGGACTGTTCAGATAGGAGCAACATAAGGGACAAGAGTAGAATATATTTAAGCGGTAGAAGATGGCTGAGGGAATGTTTATCACATTTTCAGTAGGAGAGATATTGTTGGGGTTTAAGGGGGGTGTCAATAAATATTACCTTGTACTTCACCTTATAAATTTGGAATCAACTGAGAAGCAGGCTCCATAATAAGTAGATCGAAATTTTAAAAATCAGCCTTGTTAGTGAGGCTGACTGGAGAATATGCCATAGATTTGTGGCCAAAGGGCTTGGTATGCCACCTCTCCCCCAAGTTAAAATTAACTCATCATGATATTGGACATCTGAGTATCCCCCCCCCCCCGCCTCCCTGCGCAGTTTGCTTACTGCAGGCCCTAGATAAGTGTAAGTGCTAGTGCTGCTGGCACCTGCAGACTATGCCGAGTTCTGCTGGTGCCTCAGCTCTCCTTAAGATCCGAGGAGGGGGCTGGGTTGTAGGTGGTTAGTTTGTTCTCCCAGTTGTCAGAGAGTTGGAGAATGAGGCCTGAACACTACAGCTGAAGTCTCCTCAGGGAAATATGAGGCTACACAATAGTGGACCTCCACTGCCAGTATGCTGGTATGGTGCTTTTTCCTACCCTTTCCAGAAGATTGAACCATGAGCTTAAATGGTTAGTTAGAGCAAAGAGTTATAGATCCTTTGTCTTAAAAGCACATACAATTGGGGGAAATCAGTCTGTTTTTAGATATTTGGGGCAATCTGAAAGCAAAGACAGAGACTGTGTAATTGTCTAGCAGCCTTTCTGTGGATGCTTATTAAAATATATTTGCCTATCTCACAAAAATACCTTTTGCTTCAATTTTGTTTTTAAGTCTTGCCAGCAAAGATGTGACTAAGACTTTTCTATTTCTGTTTAATATATTTTGAAAACTAATTATTTTCAAGTTTATCTAATTCAGTAAAAGAATTTTTTTTTTCACATAGTAAGGGTTCAATCATATAGAATAACAAAATGCTTGTTCTGAAGTTGTTAGTTCATCTTGCTAATTCCTCTCCCTCCCTTTTCTCCTTTCCAGAATCCTATTCTAAGAACTCAGGCACTCAGGTCTCCACCATGGTATTGGGTCCTGAACAGAAGATGTCAGATGGTAATTTATAGCTTTGTGTTATTGTCTAATTTTTGTTTGGAATTAGGCTTGTGTCAGTAACAGAAATTTACCATATTTTCTCTCTTGGTTCATCTATTCCAACACCTCCATGCAGAAGTCACCATCTGGTGCCAGGCCGTAAATGAAAATGGATTTATAACCACAGAGACCTGCCTCCTGTCTTATTTCCAATTCTGAGTTAAGCCAAGATTAGCTACAAGTTTGGTTTCTATAGTGGTAATGTTTGCAAAGGCAGTATGATTCCCAGACCTGGCATAATAACTCTGGAGGGCTTTAGCTGCTTGTTACACTTCCTCATGCTTCAGATATGAGAAACAGTAAAATGCAGGACAAGTACCTTATACTCTATATTTGATTGGAGCTTCTTGAGTGCTTTGACTAGTCCTTCCTAAATCTGAGCTCCCCCTTTGGAATTTCCATTCCTTTTCTATAAATTTCCTCATCAATTTCAGGGTCACTTAATTAAGGTGATGTGGGTCAGCTCCCTATAGAAAGAAAGCTCTTGTTTTTCTAATTGGAGGTTGTAAGAATTTATTGGAAATATAGAGATTAGAGCTTTGTGGTTCAAAATAGCCATTTGATGGCTGCAGCAGACTGGACTTTGTATATGTCTGGCAGATTAGCCCTTTTTTCCCAGACTTTCCCCTCCCTGCATTTAAGATTAACTGCAAAATGCAGGACTTGGGCAAACACTGATATCAGTCTGAAACGAGCCCTGTTGTCACAGGGTGCTGGCACCCCATGACTAGCATCTATTCACTGCAGGGCTTAGTCAGGATGGAGAGTTCCTGCTTGGTGGTTTCCCTACAGCTGCAGATTTTAGCTTGAACTATGACAGGATTTTGCAACTTGTACATTTTTTGAGAAGCTTGAAAGAGGTATAATGTTCAAGGACAATACTTTGAGTAAGTGCTACCAAAATAATGGGGAGGAACATTCAGTATAATATAACCTTGTTCTTTTAAAAGTTAGAATTTTAGGTTATTGGAGCTGGTCTGGGAATGTTATATTTCGAGCCCTAGATGTCAGTGTTTTTAGAGGAAAAATGAAATTGTTTGAAAATTACCAAGCAGGAATAGAAGTTGTGAGACTAGTGTTAAAACTGGGGGGCAGGGATGAGAAGGCAATTTTTTAGAGTAGGCTTTCTTGTATTTTTTGTATTTCTTGAATTTTTAACCATATAAATGTGTACCTATTCAAAAAATAAATGTATTATAAAATATAGATAAGAATAAGTTATTAAAAATGAGCTAGAGTCAGGTTGGTCTCTTGTGCATTGCGGTATTAAATTTAATTTCAGTATTACTGAAGAGTTGTTAGTGTATTTTGTTCATTTTTATGAATTTCCTCTCAAATCTGTTCATTCAGACAATGCTTCTGGAGATCATGGGGACTCTGCCAGTCTTGGTGCCATCAACCCTGCCTACAGTAACTCCTCTCTTTCGCAATCTACCGGGCACTCAGATGAGCCGTTTGCCACCTACTTTGATGAGAAGATCACCATCCCAAAGGAGGAAGTTAGTGACAGCTCCTTGGAGGAGCTATTGTCTATTTACTATGATAGAAAGATCTACTAGATGACTCAAGCTTAACAGCCTCAGGCCTAATTTTGGCAGGCAGTCTCTGACAACTGAATTTTTAAAATCAGAATGAATAAAAACTGTTAAAGGAAAACAAGGGTCTTAAAAATAGTTGCTACATGGCAGTAGTACGACCATTTTTTTTTTAGTCATGTTTCCTTTTTTTTAAGAGCGGCTCCTGTCCTGTTTGGGTAGTGGTTGGACATAGGTACTGATATTATTTCTCTGGTTTTAGAATGAAAGGCTGATGGAAAAAGCAGGTAAGAGAAGGGTTGTCACTTGGACAGAGTAGTGGCCAGCTTAATAATAAAAAGTGGATAAGACGGAAGTGAATCTTAGACAACATCCTAAATTCTTTGTTCTTATGAAGCTGGTAATGTTGCTTCATATGTGATAACAGATAAATTAGGTTAGTAGTTTGGAGGTAACACTCAGTTTGATATCTTTTCCTCTCTTGTATAGTACTCTTGTTTTAGCTTTCGTAAACTCTGGGCTTTCACGGGACCAGGCTTTCTTATGAGCATTGCCTACCTAGATCCAGGAAACATCGAATCCGATTTGCAGTCTGGAGCAGTGGCTGGTTTTAAGGTGAATATCTAGTCCTACGCCTGTCCTTTTAAACACATACAATACACTCTCACATCCTTTCCTCTACACTGTCTATTGGATAGCAGCCTCAGGAGCTACATGCATATATTTAATTGGCAGTGACACTTTATGTGTAAAGTAATTCCCATCTGGTCTTTTATTTTATTTATCCATATAGTTTCCTTAAACAAAGGAGAAACTGCAGATGGGAGAAACTGAGGCTCAGAAGGGTACAAGGTGACCTAGTAGGTCACGTGGAGAACCTGATATAGAACTCAAGTCATTTGATTTCTGACCTGGGCTCTTTCCTGAATGTAGTGTTTCCCATTCACTTTGGCAAACAACCAAACAAAAAAATCCATTGTCGAATGAGTGTTATGGGGGGATTTTGTTCTTAGTTGCTCTGGATCCTTCTGTTGTCCACCATCGTGGGGCTGCTGCTCCAGCGCCTTGCAGCTAGACTGGGAGTGGTCACTGGGCTGCATCTTGCTGAAGTGTGTCACCGTCAGTATCCCAAGGTGAGCAAAGTACTTTCCTGTTTGTCTCTCACCCATATCATAGGAATCTGTGTATCTGGCAATATGTGCTGGCTTTACCATATACTGAGACAATGGAGGACTTGGGGTTCTGTGACCCTGAAGACCGGAGTATCAAGGAAAATTGTACAGGTCCTCTTGCTGCCAAGCCATGTTTTTCCCCTCCCTTCATAATGTAGCTTGAGATTCACTTTTTCCCCAGAAGGTTTTCTTAGAAAAACTTTGTTCGAATAAACATTTACCATTTACTCTACCTTCTGGCATCTAGCAGTGCCCAGCGCATGAGGGAGGGAGGGTGTTATCTCTGAGCACGTTTATTCATACCTCCATGTTACTTCATCAGTTTCTGTTACTTTTTGTTTGACTTTGCTATCCCTTTGAAAAAGGTAAGTTTATTTCCTTTTACTACAAACTGTATGTGGCAGGATCTTTGGATTTTCTAATAATCATTTTTCAGTTAACCCTGACCCTGGAGGTTATATTGTCCTCTACAGCTTCCTTCTGGATATTTTGGGCCTTTCTTATTGCTACCTAATAAGGCAGGAATGAACCCTATATCTGGAAGACAGTTTTAATCTGGCTTCATCCTTAGATGAGATAGTGATCTTCCTCTGGTTTGTTTTAAATATCTGATCTCTTTTCCTGGCTGTGAGCAGAGAGTATCCTTATCTGCTTAAAAAAAAAAAAACACCTTAGTAATTTACAATTTCTTTTTTTTTAAAAGATGACCGGTAAGGGGATCTTAACCCTTGACTTGGTGTTGTCAGCACCACGCTCACCCAGTGAGCCAACTGGCCATCCCTATATGGGATCCGAACCCGGGGCCTTGGTGTTATCAGCACCGCACTCTCCCGATTGAGCCACAGGCCGGCCCAGTAATTTACAATTTCTTTCAGCTTCTCTTTCTTCAAGCATGTTAACAGTTTTTTGTGACAAGAAATTTTTTGGATAGTAGGTATTTGGAGGTGTTTTTTCTGGCTTCAGTGAGTCAGCATAACTAAATCTATCTTTCAGCTGGACTGTTTGGTCAGATTATGACTCCAGCCTTTTCGTGTTTGTTTTGTCTCCTCATCTGTGGTCAGGATAGATGCTTTCCTCTGTGAACATTTCCTATTCTCTTGACGCCTATTTTTTTTAACATATTAGCATCCTTATTCTCCCCTAAAACTTTTAGGATTGTTTGTAGGCAGGAAATTAAGTGGAAATTAGTGAATGAAAATTCCATTCCTCTCTTTAGTGGAAAGAAGAGAGAAAAAAGTAAGATCCATTGCTGCCTTGACTTTGATTCATAGACTCTACCACATGGAAGCCACTTTCCTTCTCTAGCCTGGGGCCACGGTGCAATGATGGGCCAAGTGGAGCCAAGTTCTGGTATTTCGTCTGTAGTCTAGAGGCTTATAAAGGACAGTTTATGGGTCAGTGCCAAAATGTGAATTCAAAACTATGGAAAAAGTTCTCAGAAATGATTAAGCAGAACTGTATCTTTCTACTATTTGGTGTTTAGGTCCCACGAATCATCCTATGGCTGATGGTGGAGTTGGCTATCATTGGCTCAGATATGCAAGAAGTCATTGGCTCAGCCATTGCCATCAATCTCCTGTCTGTAGGAAGGTGAGGGGATTTTCCTCTAGAAAGTAATAAGTGTTTTGTTGGATTTCAAAGCAAAGGTAAAAACAAAACCCAACTCATTTTCAATTTTCAAGATTCAACTCAAGTGTAATTTCTTCTGTGGAACCTTACCTTCCTCTCCCCTGGCAGGTGTAAGCTCTCTACATCTCTGTTCCCATGGTGGATTATACATACCTTTATTATAGACTGTGTGGCATTTTGTATTACAGTTATTTATGTATATGTCAGTTTATCCCACTAGATAGCTTCTCGAGGGTAAGACTCATACTTTTCATTTTTGTATCCTAAATGTCTGACATAGTAGACTCTCAATCAAAGTTTGAATGAATGTAATTAAATTGGTCCCCTGATCTTAAACTACCCAAGGCTTGGCTTCCTGCCACCGTCCTTCCTCCCCCAAGTCCTAGCTTTTCCAAGTGTTCTGTATCTGGAGAGCTATTGGGAAGAAAGTGTTTCCAGTGTTTCCTTTCTTTCCTTTAATCTCCATTTCTTATCTCTGACCTAGGGTTCCTTTATGGGGTGGAGTTCTCATCACCATTGCAGATACCTTTGTATTTCTCTTTTTGGACAAATATGGTAAGGAGAGTGGGAGTGGAGGGGTCAGTCAGAGGAGCTGTTTTCCATCATGTGGCTGATGGGGAAGTCTGCCTTATGTGAGCTCACTGCTGCATTTTCCCCTTTAGGCTTGCGGAAGCTAGAAGCATTTTTTGGCTTTCTCATCACTGTTATGGCCCTTACATTTGGATATGAGGCAAGTGGTACAGGCTATTCATTAGCCTTTTAAAACAAGCTTTTTGCTGTTTTTTGTTTTTTTATTTTGGTTTATTTTTAGCCTTCTTATTATAATAGACAGTAATAATGTTAGTATGGTTTAATTGTATTGCATGTATCAACAAAAAGCCAATTTAGCCCTGGGCCAATTTTGAAGGATATGCTATATAGCAAAGATTAGTGTGCAGGAAGGCCTAGGTCAAAGATTACTACACTTTCTAGGACTTTCCAGTCTAGACTCCCCTATGCCATGTTGGCCATTCTGACAACAGAACAGCCTAGGATGGAGGTTGCAGGCTTATTCTTGGTTGTTAACATTTAAGGGTTATTTTTGCCTACTCTGGTTTATATTAATTACAGCTTCAACTTTAACTGGATTAAAACAGTTGATGAATTTTAGGGGATATAGTGGACATTTCCTGGTTTGGTGCCCCAACCCAGACATTCCTACAAATTAGTACCATATTTGCAGTAACGGTATTTTTCTATGTCTAGTGTTATAAACTGATTTCTGCTTGCTGGCCTGGCTGAACTTTAAAAAATATATCTAATCTATGAGTTGATTATGTGTCTTGGCCTATGACTTCCAAGAGAAATGCTGAACTGGGAACAAGTATGTATGAGAAGTGTTTATGAATGAGTCACTACACAGTAGCGGTAAACATGATTGTAGGTAAACAGAAGCATGATAAGTGCAGATAATCAAGAATTGATTCTATATTCTTGGATCTGTCTCATAGGAGTTATTATGAAGCTAATAACAGTAGGGCCCTTAGCAGCCATTTTATTTCTTTATGTCCTGTACACATCTGTTTTGTATATCTAAAATATAATATAAAATATCTGGATACTTCAGTCCTGAATTCTCTGACCCCTGGTAGTAAGCCCGTAATGTTGGTTGGTTTTTTGATGGTTATGTATTTCTTGTTATTCTAGGTAGTTGTCGCAGAAGAAAGGGTTGTAAGGAGCACAGGATTCTGAGCGTTCCCTAGTACTATATTACTCCTCCGGTCTCATGTTTCAGTAAAGGCTAATAGTTGTTATGTTGGTATCTAGTATGTTACAGTGAAACCCAGCCAGAGCCAGGTACTCAAGGGCATGTTTGTGCCATCCTGTTCAGGCTGTCGCACCCCACAGATTGAGCAGGCTGTGGGCATCGTGGGAGCTGTCATCATGCCACACAACATGTACCTGCATTCTGCCTTAGTCAAGGTGAGCACAACCCTTGTGTCAGTGGCCTCCTAGATAGTTCATGGGATGTTTTCCTTTAATTACAAGGAGCACAAACTTAGTTTACAACTGTTAAAGCCCTGTAGGAGCAAGGTATTTTCCAAGGATGGACATTTATAAACTCCACATGCTTGGACTTTATTTCTGTCACCAAACTGACCAGGGATTACTGACGCCACAGAAAGAATCTGGGACTAAAGTTTTTCATAAAAGGCCTGATAGTATACCAGGCTTCTTGTGTTTAAATCACAAAGGCCTGAGTGGGTCTGTAGAGGTCAGGAGTAAAGGAGCCCAACTGGGCTTTTACTGGTCAGTCTTATACAGTAGTTTGCTGGGAGATTTCAGAGACCTTTATAATTAGGGTTATTCACACCTTCAGACTGAAATCAAGTTGTTTTTGTAGGTCAATGGTCCTTCCAGCCACAATAACTGAGAGCTCTGTAGTCACTTAGTCACTGTTCCCTATTTGGGTAATGTACAATGCCATCAAAGGGCATGGAGTTCTTAATCGCTTAATGAACTAGGATGTAGGTGAGTGTTGGATCTCTCACATTTCATCTGGTCAATTGTTTGCTCTCTAAATCTATCAGCTGACTCCAAACTTCTGAAATGTTACAAGGAAACTTGTTCTGTCAAAAAATGACTGCTGCTGTTATCTCTCTAGTCTAGACAGGTAAACCGGGCCAATAAGCAGGAAGTTCAAGAAGCCAATAAGTACTTTTTCATTGAATCCTGCATTGCTCTCTTTGTTTCCTTCATCATCAATGTCTTTGTCGTCTCCGTCTTTGCCGAAGCATTTTTTGAGAAAACCAACGAGCAGGTGGTGAGTAAGGCAGAGTTGTGAGTGGTAGTGAATGTGAGGATAAAGTGAAGGCTGGAATGGGGTAGGAAAATACAATGACTTGGAGCCCAGAGGAATAGATCTCTAGCCTCAATACTACCCCCTAAAATCACTCTGCACCAATCAGAGTCTATGGTCTGGGGGCTGCCCAAGGCGGGGAAAGATGGGTCCCTGGGAAGGGAGCTTAACTCAGACTGCAGACTGCCTCATGCTGTTGTGTTAGTAGCCTCACGTCTGTTTGGCTCTTGGTCATTCCGTTTTGTTTCTTGTGTATCAGCTTCTGTCGGCTTGCTTGCCAGTCCTGCCATTTGATGACGAGGACAGGTTGGGAAGAGTCAATAAACAGAAAACAGAAACTGTGACTAGGACAGAACTTTGTTTTATCATTTGAATTCTGTATCCTCTTGATTCCTGAGTGATCACCACTTGTTGTCCATCAACAGGACCTCTGACTCCTGGCTCTGACTTGACTAAGGGCTCCTTAGTCTGGGCATCTTCTATGTTTGAAGCATTCTTAAGAGCCTCTCCTCCTGTCATTTAAAATGCCCCAGCATTTTTGTATTATTTTGCATACTCTAACTCAGTAAATATTTTTGATGATGTGGGGTGTAGAAAGATTATGGAGGGAGATCACAAATGACATTACTGCCAGTCTGTGCCCACATCACAACCTGTATCCAGTGTTTTCTGTCCAGCTACCTCTCATAGATGTCTGTGTGATCTGTAGGAGAGCTCTTATCTGGTCCTTGCTTATAAAACAAAAGTTGTTCGTAAACTACTTTGGGTTCTAGGTTGAAGTCTGTAAAAATAGCAGCAGTCCCCATGCTGGCCTCTTTCCTAATGATAACTCAACACTGGCTGTGGACATCTACAAAGGGGTAAGTTCAGATTTGTGATCTTCGTTCATGAATCAATATTCTTAGCATATTACCTGGTCCTTTTTGTGAGTTCATTTCAGATCTGAGCATATCCTCTCGGGAGTGTCATTTATTTCAGAGGTTCAGACACCAGATAAGAATTTTGGATTACATGGGAGGAAATAGAAGATCAGTTGAAAGAAGGATTGTACAGTAGCAATTCCCAAACTTGTTCTACAGAATTTTAATTGGGGTGACTAAAGAAAGTGTTCTTTATGGGATCTCTCAGTCCCTTTATGCTGGTTTCATTGTCATCCTCCCAAAGTAGAATATATAGTTTGCAACATTTCCCATTCCTCAAATTTATTTGACCTTTCCCTGTACTCCTATTATCATTTTCTGGGATCTCTCAGTCCCTTTATGCTGGTTTCATTGTCATCCTCCCAAAGTAGAATATATAGTTGGCAACATTTCCCATTTCTCAAATTTATTTGACCTTTCCCTGTACTCCTATTATCATTTTCTGAAATAGTGTGTTAAGGAATATAATTTGGGAAATGTGGTATTTTTTTTTTTTTTAATATTTAAGATTGATGTTGGAGATGAAGTCTTTAGGAGCTTAGAGAAGAGAAAGGAATAGGCTGAGGAATGCAGGAGCATCCATCAAAGTTTAGATTGAAAGCCTCTAGAATGGGGTCAGGACCTGAGCCTAGCTTCTGGTACAGTGTCCCCAGCACAGCACTTCATGTAGGTAGTGCATGGAGAAGAAGAAGAAGAAATGCTACAGAGAAATGCTATTTTGGGTGTTGTCTAAGCAGATCATTAGCACAAACATATCTGTCTCCCTTTCTTCCCCCAGGGCGTTGTGCTAGGATGTTACTTCGGGCCTGCCGCACTCTATATCTGGGCAGTGGGGATCCTGGCTGCAGGACAGAGCTCTACCATGACAGGAACCTATTCTGGCCAGTTTGTCATGGAGGTACATGCTGGTATACAATAGAGGGAGATGACACAGCCCTTTTGTCCCTTCTTAATCTCATGCTTCTGAGTTCTCTCCTGAACCTCTCCAAACCTTTTTCTGTTTCCTGTTCCAGACATTCATCCTGCTCCTGTGTTTTCTTCCAGGGATTCCTGAACCTAAAATGGTCACGCTTTGCCCGAGTGATTCTGACCCGTTCTATTGCCATCATCCCCACTCTGCTCGTTGCTGTCTTCCAAGATGTAGAGCATCTAACAGGGATGAATGACTTCCTGAATGTTCTGCAGAGCTTACAGGTGAGGAGGGAGCTGGAGAAACTCACATCCCATTAAGTTAGGCAGCATTATGTCCTGCCCTTGGGTACAAAGCCTGGTGCTGGGGGAGAATTGAGAGGAAAAGAGAGGCAGTGTTGGTCTGCAGTAAATGTATATGAAATCCCTAGCATCTAAAGGCTTTTAGAAATCGTTTGTTTTCTTAAGCCTGTTGAATGTGAATTATGAGCTATACTTACGTGTAGAACACAAAATTACAGTTCGTTAATCCAGGAAATGTTAAATGAACACGTAGGACACTGTACTACATCCTGTGGAGGTTAAGAAGACAAGTCATATATACATATTTGTAAAGACACAAAGACACTTATCATTATAATTGATGATAGGTTAATGACAGCTTGACAGATTGCAACTTAATGCTTGAGCATGTTGGGATGATAGGAATAATTATTTCTCATAAAGTAGATGAGGCAGGGTTTATGTTTCCATTTCACTAGCTGTGTTCTTCTCTGGGATGATACAAGGACCTATCTGATCTTACTTCTTTTTTCCAGCTTCCCTTTGCTCTCATACCCATCCTGACACTTACGAGCTTGCAGCCAGTAATGAGAGATTTTGCCAATGGAATGTGAGTGTACTTCTCTTTGTTCCCCAAAGGGGAAGCTGGTATGTGGGGAAAGGGTATATTCATCCAGTAGACCAGTCAGAAATGAGTCATATAGGGGAACTATATGCTTTAAGAGGTGATAGCTAGCTGCTTCCTATTTGGATTAGAAAATGGAGACCGAATGGTCTCTAAAGGTAGAGAAAGCACATTTTTCATTTCTGGGGGAAAAAGTTCAGCTTTTAGGGCTTTAACTCTACAACTTCAGCCACTGAATCACATTTTTAATTCTGTGTTAAGTGATCTTAATGAGAAAGGCATAAGCTGATACCTTTTATATACATCTTTAAAGGATATATGGGGTATTTGAAATGGTGTGTTGCATTTCTTGGGATTTAAATATTAAGGATTATTTGATGGTATTTTTCCCTCTTTTTCCCTATCAGTGTCTAACTTTGGCTCATTTAATGTAATCTGGGACATATAAAGAACCATATTTCAGTTCATTGTGAAATGCCTTTAACTTGTTCTGTTTACCCGAGAAGACAGTTTCCTTTTCTGTCTGTGGCCAGGTTGGACTCTTCCCCCAGTGACTGTGCTGTTTCTTTCACAGAGGCTGGAGGATTGCAGGCGGGATCTTGGTCCTTATCATCTGTTCCATCAACATGTACTTTGTAGTAGTTTATGTCCAGGAACTAGGGCATGTGGCCTTGTATGTGGTGGCCACTGTGGTCAGTGTGGCTTATCTGAGCTTTGTGTTCTACTTGGTAAGTCCAGTCTGGAGCGGGCAGAGGCCCAGGTATCAGGGACAGTAGAGGTGGGGCTGACTGACATTCAGAAATGAACTGACCCAAGAGCACATAGCGATCTAGCTCTAGGTTACTGTGACAGTTTTACAGAATTGTGAAATCAGCTATTTATGAAACAATTCCAACCGTAAAATTTACTTTGGTTCCTAAGATCTGTCATTTTAAAATTTGTCACTTCTATATGGTTTACATTTTTAATAATTCTAACAGGAGAGCATAGTATGAATATGTCTGAGGAACTAAAAGAAGGGTAGCAGTGTAGAGAGTGGAAAGTGGTGGAAGGTGGAGTTGGAGAAGGGGCTGCGCAATGTGATGTAGAACTTTGGGGTGGAACACATGTGGGTTTATAGCCCAGCTCAGCTCTACCACTTACTAGCTGTCCCAGGAAATAAGTAAATAGTGATATTCTCTCATTGGATTATTCTATTATTGTGTCAGCACGATGCTATAAGTAACTGAGCTAACCGGACAGCCCAGAGATTGTTTATTTTTTGCTGACTGGTATAGGGGTTAGAGTCATTTTAAAAAATCATGGCTATAAAACCATAGCTACATAGAAAAGGTATGCAAAATTATTTATATCCAGATTATTAAAAGTTTTTTTTAAAGTCTAGAGTAAATTATGTAAAAATGGTAATAGTAATTGTTTTAGGAAGATACGAGTATGGATACATTCTTCCCTATTTTTCAAATCTTTAACATTGCTTATGTTAATGAAAAACAGTCAAAGCAACAACATCAGATCCACTTCCCTATTCTACACAGGTTTCTCTGAAAAACACAAGGGATGGGGATAAGGAATAGCAGAATTTATGCCATTTCTGCTGCAGAGAATGGTTAAAGGTGGAGGCTGGAAACCTGATGATGATCTCTAGAATACTTATCTAGTCCCTCTGCCAAGGCCTGTCACAGGTTAGGGTACTTGATTGAGAAAATCACTTTAGTAAATATTGAAAAATTATGTTCTGGATTGATAGCCCCCTAATGTTTTCCTTCCCAATAAACCTTGGGCACATGAAGATTATACTGACCCCTGATCTACAGACTTACTTAAAGGAAACCCAAGTAACAAAAATTATGTTCTGGATTGATAGCCCCCTAATGTTTTCCTTCCCAATAAACCTTGGGCACACGAAGATTATACTGACCCCTGATCTACAGACTTACTTAAAGGAAACCCAAGTAACAAAATATATCCTTGACAGGAATTGTTTTAAAAATTCGCTGTGGTGGGCTGGCCAGTTGGCTCACTTGGTTAGAGTGTGGTGCTGATTACACCAAGGTCAAGGGGTTGGATCTCCATTCCAGCCAACTGCCAAAAATTTTTTTTTTTGCTGTAGAGGTTAGGGGAAGTCGAAGTTAGGGGAAGCCTTTCTTCAGGTGACTTGTTTGTGAAGGTGCCAAGTTGTACTCAGTTGGCCTGAGACGAGTGAGGTTGTTGAAGACCCATATTTAGAAGTGAGGGCTGATTCTAGAGTTGATTACTGCTGTTCAGTCCAAAGCAAGAACTTCACAGGACAGTTCAGGAGACCGCACCAGTTGTATTAGTCTGTCAGTCATTCTCCCCAGCATAAGGAGTGGGGAGAGCGGAAGAAAAGTGGTCTTCAGGGAACTCCCACTTGAATAAAAGAAACAAACCACAAACACAAAGCAGTAAGAACAGTCAGTATTGAGGAAGGCAGATTCTAGTATGTTTGGAAAGGGGTTTGGGGTTGGGAGAATGACTTGTGCAACCATTAGTTGTAGAAGAACATGGGCAAAGCTGGACATTGAAGGAAGGGAGCAGGTTTACATTTGAGTAGTGCAGTCATGGTGGGTAAGAGGCTCTTCAAAGAGCGTGGTAGATGATGACCATATTTTATTTTTCAGATTTGGCAATGTTTGATTGCTTTGGGCATGTCCTTCCTGGACTGTGGGCACACGGTAAGCATCTCTAAAGTCCTGCTGACCGAAGAAGCCACCAGTGGCTATACTAAGTAAACAAAGATTAGTCTGTCTTCCACAGGTAGCCATCAGAGCCAGTGTGTTTCTATGGTTTAGTGTGTGAACATGGCCAAAACCGACTACTGGCTGGGAAAGACTTTGTTTCATATGTTTGAAAGATGGAATTTTTTCTTTCTGACCTCCTAACCTGGGAGCTGGATTAGGTAGGATCTTTTAAAAGCTGACTTGCTGCTATCATTCCAACACTAAACTCTTAAGTAGCTGCCCAAGGGTCAACTTCTTTTATCCTTTTGAGAGATAATTCTCTATGCATGATTCTTGAATCAGGCTATATGTTTAAAAAAAAAACAGAAAATGCAATATATTTGGGCCGGCCCGGTGGTGCACTGCTACAGTGCGCCGCTTGGGAAGCATGGTGGCGCTCCCGCCGAGGGTTCGGATCCCGTAATAACTTCGTATAGCATACATTAT